CCCCAAAAAAAAAAAAAAAAAAAAAAACGGAAAGAGATGACTTGTAGTCATCCTTGAGCAAAAAAGAGTACTTTGAAAAAAGGCAGAATAGCCTAAATGGCACCTGTACTTCGCCCACTTTGTCATGCCGGTCCCCAAAGTTAGACATTTGTCAACTGAACACTTATACTCATTCAAAACGTGAATAATAAACGCTTATCCAACGTGGCTTATCCTATGTGTCATATGTGGCTTCAGTGCGTGATTCACACGCTTGTAAGGGGCGTGAAGATATTTAAAAAAGCCCTAAAGGTAATAAATTAGCCTATTTAACAACCATCTTCTTCTTTCTACCTTATTCTCCATTGTTGAACAATATAGAAGCTAAATTTAGCAAATCCGATGCCTTCTTCTTTGTTTGTTAGCTTCAACAGTGAAAAAATAGAATTTTATTTTCCTGTGATTCTTCGTTGCCCATCAATTTTTGCCATCTCCTTTTGTTTTAAAAGTCGATTTTTTCTGCTTCTCCTCCAACAAATAAGCTACTGCCGCCATTCCAATTCAAACCTCCATTAGAAAATTGTCGCAGCTATAATGTGCAAAGTTTCCAGATCTAGGTAATCTCTAACAACATCCCGAATCAATTTCAAGCCCACATATCCTCATTAATACACTTAAGCACTGGTGATAATAATCTGCAGGGATTAATCCCCGCTACAATTGGTTCACTTTCTAGTTTACAAGTAATTTCGCTGTCGCGAATCAACTATCTGGGGTGGTCCCTGCATCATTTTTCTGTAATGGATCATCTGTCAATGCTCCTCATACTATTAGGATCATTGAGTTTAGATTGGCTAACAGTACCTTAACTGGTGAAGTTCCTGAGAGTATAATGAATCTTGCTTCATTGGGGATACTTGACCTTGGTGGGAATAGGTTTTCTGGTTTGATTCCACAGTTTTTGGGTAATTTGACAAGCTTGAGAATGTTGTCTCTTAGTGGGAGTAATTTTCAGCAAGTTTGGGGAGTCTTTATCAGCCAGTTTGGTAATCGAGAAAGAACTGAAGTCGGAAAGTGAAGAATAACCTCATCAGAGAAATCACAGAAGAGAAGAGAGGAGACACTCACTGTTGTTCGATACTATCTAAGCCCTAACTACGCGGTTAATTATAAAATAAGGGGCAAATGTGGGTTTGGGGGTTAAATAATCTTAGGCCGATTTTTAATCCTATTTGGCCATGGTGTGTGACTTGGAGCCTACGTGGTCTTCTAATTATTGACGTGGCGTCCTACGTGTATGCGATTGTTATACACGCACTGGCAGCTACGTTGGATAAGCGTTTATTATTTACGTTTTGAATGAGTATAAGTGTTCAGTTGGCAAATATCTAACTTTGGGGACCGGCATGACAAGATGGGTGAAGTACATGTGCCATTTAGGCTATTCTGCCTTGAAAAAATATTCTCTTTGCTTTTCGTATGCATTTCTAAATGTACTTTTTTTTCTACATGCTCTTATTTCTTTTCTTTTATTTTCTTCTTTTTATTCTTCCTCTCCCCATTTTAAAATAACAGCCAAATAAACCTTTGAGCCTAATACTAAAGGATTGTAAAGAAAAAGTGAATTTCGTTTGTTTTGAGGGGCAAGTTTGTGTCTGTCTACTAATAATAAGGGCATATTTGAGATCAAATTCAAATGGAGGTTAAATTTGTTTTATTTTCCCTAATTAAGAGGTAAATTTGAGCCAATCACTTATAATGACATATTTGGCCTTTTCCCATGTATGGGTCTATGTTCCATAATTGAGGGCATTTTTGCCCTTTTCTACTTCTTTTTTTCATGTCTCTTTAGCTAATGAGGATAAATATAACAAAGAATAAATTACTTGTTCTATCAGCTCAGGCAAGATCTCAATCAAATTTGGCTCATATTTTATTTTCTTACCCGGTTTAACCCACTTTATATATATACTACAGAGTATTAAATTTCTTCCTATCCTTTAGCCCAACATTAAAGACCCACTTCTATTTGTTTTTTCTTTTCTTCTTTCTTCATTCTCCTTCAGTATCAAAATATAGAACCATAAATTTCTCTGCCATTATTGTAACGATCCGACCGGTCGTTTTGAGCTCTAGCGCGTCGTTCAACAGTTTGAGGCCATGAGCAACTTCATTTCAAGTATTATGACTTGTACGCATGGTCGGAATTGAATTCCGGAAAGTTTGGGGTTGATTTGGAAAGAGAATTCTCATTTCGGAAGCTTTAAGTTGAAAGAATTGACTAAGATCGGATTTTTGAGTAAACAACCTCGGAATCGGGACTCGAAGGTTCCAGCAGGTTCGTATGATGATTTCGGACTTGGGCGTATGTCCGGATCGGGTTTTGGAAGACCCGGAAACGTTTTGGCACCTATTGTGGAAGTTAGCATTTTTGGAAGAATTTTATAAGTTTGGGTTGAAGTGCATCTCAGTGTTATCAATGTCCGTTTGGGATTCCGAGTCTGGGAATAGCTCCGTATGGTGATTCCGATATTGGAAGCGCAGTCGGAAGTGAATTCGGAGGTCCGTGGGTCATTTTGGAGTCAATTGGCTAAAGATAGAAATTTGAAGGTTTTGGGAAGTTTGACCGAGAGTTGACTTTTTGACATCGAGGTCTGATTCCCATTACGGAAGTTGGAGTAGGTCCGTAATGTCGAATATTACTTGTGTGCAAAATTTGAGGTCAATCGGATGTGATTTGATAGGTTTCGGCAACGAATGTAGAAGGTTGAAGTTCTAAAGTCCATAAAGTTCGAATTGGGGTGCGATTCATGATTTCGATGTTGTTTGATGTAATTTGAGGCCTCGAGCAAGTCAGTAATGTATTTTGGACTGGTTGGTGCGATTGGTTGGGGTCCCGAGGGCCTCGGGTGGATTCCGGATGGTTAACGGATCAAATTTGGAAATTTGATGAAGGATTGCAGCAGCTAGTATCTGGTGTAACGGCACTTGCGAGGTTTTGGCCGCAGGTGCAGAGCCGCAAGTGCGGCTTTGTGGTTGCAGAAGCGCGTTTGGGCAGAGCTGGGAGGAATCGCTGATGCGAGGGTATTTCGGCATCTGCGAGCCCGCAGGTGCGTGGTAAGCTCCACAGATGCGGAACGCGTGGGGGGTAGCTGGGTCGCAGGAGCGGAAGGGCACGCGCGGGTGTGAAGGCGCAGGTGCGCTCGAGGGACCGCAGAAGCGGATTTCGCCTAGCTTGAAAAGGACCGCACCTGCGATGCATTTTCGTAGGTGCGGAGCTGCAGGTGCGGCGGGTGTACCGCAGATGCGGAAATGCTGGAGGCAGTGAGGTTCTTTTAAATCGGGGTTGAGTTCATTTCAACCCCATTTCTCCCGTTGGATCCGATTTTGGAGCAACTTTGAGGTGCCATTTTCACCACCAAGTATGAGGTAAGTGGTTTATGTTAGTTTTGAGTTAAATACATGATTGTACATGGATTTCAGCATGAAAATTTGTGGAAAACTTGGGGTTTGAGGGAAAACCTAGAAAATTAGTATTTACGGATTTTGGCCACGATTTTGGACATGAATTTAAGAGTAAATTATATATTTGAGTTCATGAGGTTATGGATAAAGTTTATCTTCGAAAAATTTCGGAATCCGGGCATGTGGGCCCGAGAGCGATTTTGTCAACTTTTCGATCGGGGTTAGGAATTGTTATAAATTGGATTATAATGAGTAGTTGATCTCATATTAATGGGTTTACATAAATTGGCTAGTGTTGGAGCATTTTGCATCGATTTGAATCTTCAGAAGGGCGTGGATTGCCGGTTATGGAACTTCAGAGCGAGGTGAGTCTCCTTTCTAACCTTGTAAGAGGGAATTGTCCCCATATGTGAGTTAATTGGTTATGTGCTCCTATTTGTGGGGGCTACGTACGCACGAGGTAACGAGAGTCCGTGCGTAGCTACGATGATGTTTAAGTCTGGGTAGTCTAGGACCCAAAAGCATGCTATACTTGGAATATTTGTAATCTTGTTGACAGTTTGACTTGCTTAAATCACATCGAATTAGTAAATGAATTTCTAAAAAGGATTAAACTTCATTTCTTTGAAATGTTAAAAGAGCATTGGATTTTCTATGGATAAATTGCTCCTCGATGAGTTCTTGATTGACTGTTTGAATATGTTTATATACAGTGGAACGGGCCGAATGCCTCGGTAGATTAAATAGATGCATCTATGGTTCGCGCCATTCGACCCTCTGGCAGTGCACAGTTTAAATATTGTTGGATCGGGCCGTACGTCCTCGGCATGATTTGCGCATGCTTGTATTGCTTGCCTTGTAATTTACTGAAGTTGATATTGCTTCTTCCTGTCTTGAGAATATATGTATAAATGATGAAACGGGGAATTGGAAATTTTTATATAAAAGAAAGAATTGTTTACTTGCTTCACTCTATCGAATTACATTCATGTTTATATAAATCCTCGACTTGTTATATTATTGATGTATCATCATTGGACCACTAGTAAGTGTCGAAGTCGACCTCTCGTCTCTACTTCTTCGAGATTAGGTGGGATACTTACTGAGTACACGTTGTTTTCGTACTCATGCTACACTTGCTGTGCATTTTTGTTGCACAGGCACTTGCATCTCTAGCGGCCTAGTGGGCGTAGCAGCATGTTTGATATGGAGACTTAGGTGAGCTGCACTTCTCGAGACGACCCGCACCCAGCAGAGTCTCTTTTAGATTTTCATATTTATTATCTGTCATATTTGTATTCCCAGACAGTTGTTATATTATTTTGTTTCCTAGAGATAGCTCATGCACTTGTGACACCGAGTTCTGGGATGATTATGGGATTGTTTAATATTGAGTTTGTTAAAGACACCAGTATCTATTCAGTGAAACTTATTACTTATTGTTTAATGTACAAAAGGAACGATTTCGAAAATGTTAAAACAAGAAATTTTAAGTAAATTGGTGTTGGCTTGCCTGACAGTGGTGTCCGGCGCCATCACGACCCTTAGTGAATTTTAGGTCGTGACAATTATTGTTCACTTTCACTTCTCCTTCCAAATTCAAAGTCGAATATGTTTGCTACTTGTGAGTTGAGACGTTTAAAAGAAAAACTTGAACCTCCACTATTTGGTTTCTTCTAAGATTCAAAGTTGAGATTTTAAAAAAAAAGTTAGATACAAGTTTGAATATCCAAAATGTGTTCTTTTTAAGTTGAAGTCGAGCTTCTCTTTACTGTGGTTGATTGTAAATATGAAAAATAAAAGTTTATCATCAAAGGCCGTTTGAAACTTTGATTTCAAAAATTGAATTTTTCAAGTTTGTTAGTTGTTTGAATTGAGTGTTGTCCAAATTGATAGGAAACATCAAGAGAAGTATAAAACTTAAATTTGAAGTAATTTGGAATAGATTTGAGCTAAATTTGAGAAGGAGAAGAAGAAGAAGAAGTGAAGCTCCATTGATGATTTATTTGTATAACAGTAAATAATATTATATAATAGTATATAGGCGTAAATAAACACCTTCTATATGCGCTACTATATACAAGATTGATACATTATTTATAGGTATTTGGTGGATTTATGACAATTTCTAATTCTTCTTTTTATACATCTATATACATAGTGTATCGCCAACATATTTTTACTATTGCGTTTATATATCTTAATATATATATATATATATACCTATGTCGCGCCCCGTTTTCTCGCGAAAGCGGGTTTCGACGTCGTCACAACTCCTTCTAGGTGGGAGAAATAGTGGTACAAGAGAAGAGTCGCCACCTAACGATTTTTAAGGTGCGTTAGGGCACCTATTATGCAGATAACTCTATTTGACTAGTCAACGTTACCGAAGATCGGGTAAGGCTCAAATTACCTCAAAGAGAAGGTGTTAGACACCCTTCGAGGTCCACAACAGTGGGTCCCGACCGAAATTAAGATCATGTGGATTATAATTAGGCTAAGTGATCAGATAAACAAAGGGAATATAAAGGTCAAAGAATTTTTTACAACATGATTGGGACAGGTCTTGATACGAATATAGGGATACAACCATTTAAGTATAATAGCAACATGGGGGAGGGGGGATCCTAAGTTTTTAAGCCTAAAGGATCACCCCGTGCAACATAAATAATACTTGCAACTCCCTTGAGATAGGGAGTTACTCATATTATTCAGCGGGCACAGACTTTCATCCCTTGCTACCCGATTACTATGTTAAAGTTGTTTACTTAAAGCGTGCTAATTCAATTCTAAGTCGTGCCCTATGCGTACACTACCCGTCCCATACCTACGGTCCAAGAGGTATTGGACTTCTATTTGGGTGGTTCTAGACCTTACCTAGGCTGCTCAGAAATGTCAAAACTAGGCGACATACAAAACATAATGGACTTCAAATATTGGGGCAATTAAGGGCTCAAGTTTGCCTCTACACTTAAGCAACAAATGCATGCGAGACAGGATTTCATGTTAGGCAATTCAGAATTAAGAACCTTAAGCCCTATAGACATGATTTCTATGTGACAATGCATTAAAACATACAAGCAATATCAGAGGCAAGGTGCTGATCTAGGCAGGATTATACACGCTGATTATTGAGATTACAGGTTTCCAGTTATTAAACCTCTTGTATCTAGGTGACTTGCGCAGTAAGGAGTAACGAAGCTATTGGAGAAGCCTAGAATTACTTATGCTTGCTAACAGTGACATAAACAAGCAGTAAACAGTGTTTGAGAGGTTCAACATTAACATTTATAACGTAAATTACACCCTATATGCAGGATCTCTAACAATTGGCACTTGGAACCCATTTTATTGTTATACTTAGCCCTATAGGCATGTTTTCTAGGTGAACAGTGCAATGCAATAGCAAATGAAGTAATCGAAATCCTATAGGCATGATTTCTAGTGAACGGTGCGATACAATAGCAAATAAAGTAATCAGAATCCTGTAGGCATGATTTCTAGTGAATATGCTTATGCGAATAGAAAGAAAGTTCAGTGATATTTATTTCCTATAGGTAGGTTTTCTAGTAACACATAGCATTAGGAATAATTGGATTCAGACAAGTAGTGCGAGTGTGTGCTTCTCCCAATGACATAATTTCTACAGTGCACATATAGATCGAACGACATATATAGCAAGTAAATCACTGAGTCCTATAGGCATATTGTCTACCCTTTTTCATGCAAACATTAAGAATCTACCCATTCCCCATTTTTACTAACACCCAATTGTTCATTACAAAATTATTACAGAACCAATAATAAAGTAATTATAAATATTGTACAAAATAATCACAGTAGGCCCACAACAGGCCCAAAAGAAATACCCCAGCACTGCCTGGGCCTTCAGTAATCTCACGTAATATACCCAGATTTCAAACAAGGAGCCATACAACCCAAAATCCATAGAAGAGCTCAAAGACAAATCACACAACCATAGATTAACCATATTGCCAAGCATTGAATCACTTAAACCAACCATCTTAGATATTTAGCGGATAATAGGAAGAAAGGATTGAGTGTCAGGAATAGTTCAGGTCTTAGTAGTAGAGGGAGTGACTAAAGGACCCCAAATCCTAGTGTGTTAGAGTTCACAAGTGTCTCAAACGGACCCCAAGCAGTGCTCACACTAGGGAGGTCAGTAGAAGGAGTCTCGGTGTCTTTGGCTTTCAACCGGCCAAGAATGAGAGGTTTAGGATAAAATAAGTAACAAATGAGAGAGAGTGGACAATGGTTAAGGGGACAGAAGTTGAGGGGTACCCTTATAGCTTAAAGTAGACATAACAGAGTTGCGAACACAAAACAACTAATCAACAGGTCACAAGACATAGAAGCAGGTTCAACAAGACTTCAACACTTAGCAAAATAACCCATAGGCAGCCACATATTGAAAAAGTTAGGGGGGGGGGGACGAACAGGTTTGCAGGGTTGATAAAGATTATCATGCACAAGTACATAATACTAAACGAGTTTAAGCCTAAGAGGTCCAAATTATGCTAAGAATACATCATAAGACAGGCATGTTAATCCTCATCAGGAAACAAAACAACATTTAGACATGATAGGGGAA